AGTTAAGGTAAATTCAGCCATGACATTATAATCTGTATATCTACCAACTCCCCAAAGCAACATCATTTATTCCACTGTCTCTTTTTATCTTTCATTATTAAATATTTATAATCCCATTTAATTCACTTATTATGATCACTAATTAATTCCACACAGGTTTCCATGCAGGCTTCCATCATAGCATTAGCCAGTGTTTTGCCATGCTCTGCCTGCACATCCTGAAATCGAAGAGAGAGGTTAATGGTTCTGTTTGCCTTTCTCCTTGACACTGAGGGCCCTCACTTTATTGAACGTAACGTGTAATCCCCCAAGGCCATCAGGACACTAGAGCTGATCCCACTGAGGTCATTTACAAAGTCAGATGTATTTGGAGCTTCCTACTTCTATTGAGCCCTAATCACCAATCTAGAAGAAGGTATCATATCCCCAAAGGGGACACAGCAGAGCTTGGGCTTGCCTTTGTTCTCCCTGTCAGCATTTTATGCAATATGTCATGTTTATAAAGTGCATCTAATATCTTGTATGTTTAGGCACCAATACTAGGATGTCTTTCTCGTGTTTATTTTGAGTTTCTTTTATGCTTATGATTTTTAATCTAAACTGTCTTTAACAAACAGTTCAAAATTCCAGTTTTTCCAAAAGTTACACTGGTGGGTGTACAGTAATAATTAAAGAAAAATATTGGACTGTTTTCACTCCAATAATTCTGCACAGTCGCTTTCCCCTGAAGGTGCTGGCTCTATTGTTTAGTGGTGCTGGTTATTGTTATTATTTCGTTCACCATGAACAATCTTGGGGAGGCCCTTGCTCTTTAAAATCCCTGAGTCTCGTCACTGGGCCTGACAGACAGGCACGACAGCAGTGTTTTCACAGCCTGTGAAATTATTCTGGTTGTCCAATCAGCTGAGCTGGGCTCTGGGAGGTTAGTGATTGGACTGGCAGGAAATCAGGCTCTTAAGACATAACATATCGACTAGGCCATCCATCATCTCTTAGCATGCGCTGAGGCACGGCAGTCAGCCACCCCCTCCTCACACCCCTCCTGTCCCTTTGGACTGTGTGGGAGCCCTGCCACTGCGTAAATATTGGCCAGGCTTGAACTGGCAGGGTGTGTGTGGGGGTAGGGGTTTGTTGTGGACAGCCCTGCACTCAAGGGGTACAAAAGACTCCTTGGGTTATAATAGTCAGAGAGAGAGAGAAAAGACAGGTATCTGAATATAAAATCACTTCACATTGCATTGGGTGATTTCCAAGTGATGTAAATAATTTTAAAGTATATTAATGTGTTGTCTACCAGTGTCATGGCAGAGGCTGTGATAGATTTTTGAGGGTCATACGGGTCATTTTTTGGGGCAGAGGGTGTTAATAATTTTACAGTGTACACACTTTTCTTGTGTTATCACACATGTGTATGTATATAAAATAAAATATTTTTAGCATTATTGCCATAATAACTATATTGCCCAACTATATTAACTATGTTTGTAATTCAAACTATTTGAGTTCCAGTGATGTAAATCAATAGGAAAAGCCATTATCCTCAAGTGTATGCATGCTATTTTCAGTGCAAATCAATTTCATAATCATTGCTTTTGAAACGTTCAACACAATAATTGTTACTGACCATTTCAAGTTAATTTCCACGGAGGGTCTGTCAGTTTTCCTGTTGTAGTATGAGTGTGGGCAGTGGGAGGAGAGAGGGAGGGTCCTATAGACAGATAGAAAGAGAGAGATTGTGATGTGGAGTCCCTCATCTGTAACGGCTGCATAACACAGATGTTGGGAGTCATCTGTCAGCCTGGCCTCTCTTGCTGGGCTCGATCTGCTCTGAGGGGAAAAGAATTGGACACGGTGCTGTCACTTTTTACCCCCACTCACAATGGAGGGACATGCAAATATCAACCCCCATTCTTGCCCTCTCTTCCTTGCCCTCCTCTTATCCAGCCGTGGTGTCCTGTCTAGTATCTGGACTGCGGCTAGGCAGTAAAGGAGGTGGGAGGGCTCATCGCAGGGTGGTGCGGGTGAAAATGTGACATCAGTCCCATCAGGTCCTACTCTTGCCACATATTAGAATTGGAAATGATGGGCGGCTCTCTGAGGCCTTGCCTCTCTTCCCTTGGGTCTAAAGGGGACTCCAGTCCTTCCACCCTTTGTCCCCAGAGAGACTCTGTGCAAGGAGGGTGAGAAAAGAGGGAGGGAATGTGAGAGTCCTCTGTGTCCTTCTGTGCAATATGAATGAATTTGGATGTAATGATTAACCCCCCCCCATCAACATTGGCTTTCACAGTCATGAAAGTAGTAATGTGTGTTAGAAAAGGGGCAGATGCCTCTGTTTTGCAAAATGCTTAAAAAGTAAAGTGGAGCATCCCTCCCCTCTGAACACAACCTGTGCCTTTCTCACTCTCTCGCTTTTACTCACACACATATAGGCAACTCCCTGGTGAGGGGTCCCTGAATGTTTTTCGAATCGGGCCCTAATGTGCCGTTTTCATCAGCACTGAGGCGGGCTGCAATATGGTGCTGGGGCTCGCTCTGGGAATATGAATGTTGATTAAGCATGCGTTCAGCCTTTTGAAATTCTGAAGAAGTGTCCGAATAATGGATGTTGAGCAAATGTCAAGCATTTGTTAATTTCTCTGTTATTTGGGGTTTATCTAGCATGATCTTTGGAAGGAAAGCATGGGGCAGGGTTGTTGTGGCATGTGCCATTGATATGGTGATTTCTTGGCTGCAGACACTTTGTTTTTGATGGTAATATCTCAGCTCAGGACAGAGCTTAGGGACTGACTCACTGCTCATTGATTATTTATTGTGGATCCAGTGTTTATCTCTCTCTCTCTTTTTTTTTAACATGATGGTTAAACCTAAGGATTTGTTAACAGACACAATGTATTAAACTGGTAAGCTCTTTTTATATATAGTTTTTGTTTTTTTTTTTTTGTGGGGGGGGGGTCTTCAGTATTATTTTAAAGTCTTGTTTATTATTCCTTTATATCAACATATCTTTTATAATCTAGGGAATAGATAGGATCCATTTCCAGTTGTTTAAGTCTCTGAATTTTTTACCTTTTTAGGATTTGACCTATTATCATTGCATAAGATGGTCCCATCACTTAGTATCAGAAGTTTGGAGTCTTGGCATAGTTTAATTAGATAGTCTAATGAAGAATTTTGTAATTCAACTTTCATCAAGTTATCTACCTGTTGTTGTTGACTGTTTGGGAAATTTGGGAAACTTGTTTCAGTCTTCTTTTGTGGCCCAATCATCTCATCTGAAGGTTCACACTTTATTTTCAGTTCAGAACATTTACTAAAGTTTGCTTGGATCAAGGTTTACAAAAGGCAAACACATGCCTTTTTATAAACTAGGGGGATCCTTGCTAAATGTGCCAGTTGGGTTAGTTCTAGATTTAACTGTGATTTCCACTGTTGCCTCTGTGGAGCTGCACTGTTGCAGCTCCTGGGAAGGTAGAATTCCACAGCTATTTTGTAGCCTGGAAGTGGCAATGACATTACCCAGAGACTGATCTAGTGCAGAGCCTGTGGGGGCAGTCCCGATGGCCTCCAGCCCACAGCCTTACACCCCTGGCTGCCCATATTGAACAAAACACAAACTGGCAGCTGGGGCTTTAGGGATTCAACCCTTGAAGGCTGAGAGGCTGGCAAAGTAATTCCACAGCTTTATGTGGCTATATGAACATTGGAAGGGTAAAGGGATGAATGAAGTCTAAGCAGATATGGGAGATGTAGAAAGAAGAGAAGCTGTGCTGATTTTACAACTTCATGTCAGGCTAAGGAGTTCATGAATAATAGATACTATCAATTACTTGATTAGGAAGCACAGGAATGGCTACTTCCTCTTCATATAGTAGGGGTGTTGTCCAAGCACACTCAATAGATTGTAAAGCCTTTTTGACTCACTGGGCCAAAAACACTGAGGTAAGCAGCACACTGTTTAAGTAAGATGTGGCGTATACTGTTTATATGGGAGACAGCCTTGAAGGTTAAAAACTGTGATTATTGGATTGCTAGACAGAATAAGAAGTTAATAGTAGTAGAAGCAAATTATTGATGTAGAAATATGAGCTATAAGACCAACATATTGTGTGCTGTGGTGTAGCATCAGTGCTGTCTCCTCACTCCCCAAAGCCATACCCACAGCTGGGCAGCTAAGGTAGAGTCTTTTGCCCCAGGTTTCTTTTCATACTGGGATCAATTGCAAAAGAAGAATGAAACAAATTACCCAGAATGGTACAGGTTTCCCAGGCACGCTTCAGGGAGTGGGGAATTGGTCAGTGTAATGCGTTTCTTTGCCAGACCAGTGGATGCTTGCCACTTGACAGATAACATGGACCTCATTTTCAATTTTCCACGAGAGTTTGCAGAAACAGCAATGACACTAATTACACTACAACAATTGCAATGCACATAATCGTAATAACATGGTTTGTCACAGAGTCATGAAGCTCCTACATTTTCAGGAGGAATCACAATTAGGGTGGTGACTGTGGGATCTTTCCTACCTTTTTTTTGCCACCATTATTTAACAGTCCTGACATCTCGGGGCACCTCAGCAGACAGGAATTTTAAAGATTGTAATAATGTGAAGGGGGCTGGGTAGGGGTAATATTTTTGTTTATTAGGACAATAATAGACTGTGAGGTGCCTTGATGTGCTTCTGCTAAAGTCATCTCTATCCTCAGCCCCCCACAGGCCTGTAGGTTTTGTATGGCCTGCTACTGAGAGATGGAGAAGGGGGTGTGAGAGTAGAGGAAGGTACTCTTAGTCAGCCTTTTGGTAAATGCTTGCTCAGTAATGCAAAAAAAAAAAAAACCCTGTTGTCTTGTCATGCTTTACATGCTAACAAAAACTAAATAAAATAATAATTATAATACATCTACAACTAAGTTAAATACATGCCTAATAGTTGTGCTGATTGTAATAGAAGGCTGACTTTGCAGTTGTTCTGCAGGAAAAGCTAATGTGAACTGTAAACACGTGTGCTCACTGAGCAAGTATTTGTTTGAAACTGCATGACACACTGAGATTTGTGTTTGTTTCTATCTCGTGTCAAAATACATCACATTTATACATTAACACATAAAGATTATTTTTCTACACATTTGTTTTGCTGCTGATGACGGTAGGCTTAACTGAGAAACAGATGTTAGCATTTTGCCTATCAGCATGTGTAATTAGCAGCATTTGCATATCCAGAGTGTTAACCCAAATTCAGCTGTTTTTCCACATTACAAAATATTGACCTATAGGAAAGTAAATGCTCAATATATTATTGTCAGCACTCTTGCTTGAATGAAGTCCTTAGATGACATCTAAATCCTAACTATTCTAAGAAAGATCTGCTAATAATTACTGTAACAGAGATACATATAACAATAGAATGAGGTATTACAACTTAGAAATATTTTCATACACTTTGTAAGAGGGAATCATTTCCTCTCTGCCTTTTCCTTCTCAAAATCATTTTCTTGCCATTAGTAAAAATATGTGCAATGCCTCAATTAGCCAGTTCCATGCCCTGAAGACTCACACCATGCAACACTCCCTGCATGCAGATCCACCAAATGGTAAGTACTGTCGCAGCATATGATAGCAATGCCATTAGCCAGGTGGCTTTCATTACCTAAATTACAGCTATTGTTTATAATTAATTATTTGTAAATAGGAAGATTCTGAATATAATTGATAGCTTGAATTTCTCCCCTCTCTTATTGATTAGGTTGATGGGAAATTGAATCTAGGCTTTTTGCTGCAGTGCCGTAGACACTGAAACACTCTGAATGCACAATGAGATAAGGCAATTCAACACTCAAACTGGAATTTATCAGATTCATAACCAGTGGATAGCCCAGCTTAATAGAGCCTAAAGCACTGACCAGACAGGCATACCAACTCAGTGACAAAGTGAAAGACCCTAATTGTTTTTAATTTAATCTGCTGCTTTACTATTTTGGGTGCCAGTGCATATTAATGCTCTGTCTTATGTTGTAAGGAAGGGTAATTAGGTTGAGAGTGAATGATTCCCTAACCAGCCTTCTGTCTTCCAACCTTCTGTTTCCCCATGTTCTAAATTATATCCAAGAGGGAGAGATTTTTTTTATTGTTTTCTTTTCACATAAAGGTCAACGTAAGGATGCACTGCAGTCTCACTCTCTTTTTGAAATGCATCTTCAAATGTGGCATTAGTTTTTTATATTTACATAAAAATAAGTCCTACAGGTAAATCTCACTCCAGTTCATAAAATACAACCACATAGTTTGCACTAGTAGGAGAGGGGTTGATGATTTCATTTATATACCTTGACATCTTTTGTTTATGTACAAGTACAAATTCACTTGGGACTTGCGTCTTCACATCCTCTGTCATAGCTGAGGAATTGTTAAATATTTACTCTAAGAACAAATTTGACTACATTTTTCTAAGACATTATATAACCAGCTTTGGTCTTTTGGTTATTTTGTCCATTTTAGACACATCACCAATACACTGACAAGATTTCCTCATTGCCCTTTTCTCTACTTTCAACTTTTTGTCCTGTCATGGCATTATAAAATCTTCAATACAGAAACTAAAACTGTTGCACTCATAATGTGCACAAATCTAAATAAAATGGTAATCATCAGTTTTGGTTAAGGCTAAAAAGACAGAGATTAATGAATCTGGTTAGTTATGATTTTTGTATCTGATCATTTATTTTGAATGAATATTATGACTCCCTTGTGATAGTATTGTGAGGAAAGGAGCTGGATACAGTGGTAATGCAAAGCAGATCAGATTTCCATTGGAAGACTTCATTTCGCTCTACACTGTGGCATAAAGTGAACATACTGTGCCCAGGGGAGCACAGGTTGGATATACATTAATGTAAATCCTGCAGTAACTTAGTATTAATGTCTGTTAAATAGAAATATGGACATTATATGAGCCCAGTGCAAAAGACTTTATATCATATAGACAACTCTTGGTTTGGATCTCCTCTCTGTTCTTTTTATTTTATTTTATTTTTCTCTCTCTCACAGTATTTGGACTTATTTAGCTAATTTAGTTATTTTCAGCAGTTGTGGTGCTTTTGTCCAGTTTTGATGTTGATGCAAAAACTGATTGAGGTAGGAAAGAAAAATAAAAGTCTGCAAAAGTTCTTAGTGTTCTTGAAACAGATATGTTTTCCCAGATATTAAGAGCAGTTTGTGTTCCTTTAAAGTTAACAGGGTATAGATTTAGCAATTAGGCAGTAATCATGCTCATTATAGAGAGTAATCCATTTAAAACCTAACAGATGTCTGTTCTAACAGGGGGATCGTGATGGTCCCATGCCAACAATAAGGCAGTAATGTTGCTGAAATGCTCAGGTGCAAGGTTGAAGTGTGGAAGAATTTTTTTTCCCCCTCTTAAGTGTCCACATGTTGACAGTTGACTATTTAATGGCCCAGTTAATTGCAGTAGCCCCTTTGTCCCCAAACATCATTGTAAATTAATGCTGAGGTTGCATTGGTTTTGTGTGTGTGTGTGTGCGTGTGTGTGTGTGTGTGGAGTGTTTCTTCTGCTTTACATCAAACATTTGGCCCTTCTCTTTTGTAACTTTGTGTTTGATGAGACTTATCTGTGTGATGGGTTGAGAGCCCCAGAGAGTTTGAATAGTTGAGAGTTGGCTGTTCTCCAGGCAGAGCAATAAAACTTTATATTTGGTATCTGGAGAATTCACGATGACGCCTTTGGTGGGAGAAGTCATTATAAACTGCAAAACTATTTCAGTGGTTGAAATGGTTTTATTAAGATATCGTCACAGGCTGAGACTCCAGACAGAAATCAATGTTTGAGATTTCTTAGGCTTTGCTTACACGCACCCTGGTCATTTCATGGTTTAGAATGATTGATGTTGATTGCCTGTGTGCACTGAATATTTCAGTGTGGCTTCTCGTATGTATTTACATACCATTCTCAGGTGACTTGTAACAAATAGTCCACTAAATTTAACAATTAAGTGTACTGAGTGCAGTGTTTGGAGAGACGGAACCACTGGAGACCATCACAGATCTGTTTGCGTGTGTGTTCGTGCTTCTGTTGCACTTGTATGTGCTTTTGTTGCTATGCAGGGTGGAGACATGTACCATCCAATTAGAAAAATATCTGTCACCACTTTAAATATCTTCAACCCAAAGGATGCTGGGGGGGTTGGGGAGGGATATCGAAGGAGCTGTGAGTCCTTGTTGGAGCTGCCTGTTTTCCAGGTTTGCCCCTGTGCCAGGTGTTTGACATTGACTGGAGCTGGAGATGAATGTAGCTTATGGCAACCCGTGGAATTGACCGACTTCTGGGAGTCCCAGCTTCCTGGAGTGAAAGTTTCCATTTTCAAAGCCCATCAGTTGCAGTGGGAGGGCTCCAGTGCAGTCCATATGCCAACACTGACAGGGAAGCAGGAAAACTTTCTCCTATCTCTGTATTGCTACAGCACTCACACAAACAAATACAGACACTCACAGTCACCCAGTTTCAAAGCGACATACTGATTCAAGGAGTGTAATTGCCAGTGAATGCCATGTTTCCCTCAGTGACAAAACTTGAACCCTACCCTTTATTTGCACTAAGGCCATTCATTTCTCTCCAGTGTTATGAGTATCTGTTGTTTTCCAAAAGCAGAAACTGTACTTTAATTAAGAACAGTTTAGTTTTCAGCATTGTTACTGGAGAGAATGGGTGTGGATGAAGATGCTGAGTATGAATGAGTGAATGGGGGGGAAAAAAACAGGCTATATTTTTCTCATCTCTCATACCACACACAACCTCCCCCCTTTTCAAACCCCCACACCATCGTGGCAGGAATCCTTTGTCAGAGGTGTTCATCTGGAACAACTTTGCCACACTTGTTTTCATGTTCTTTTAGATTACAGGGCAGCTGGCCTCAGCTTTGATGCTCCCCCTCTCCCTTTGTCTCTGTGCAATGCACTCTGGTAATTAACTTTGTCCTTCTTTTATTTGTTCCAGTCACTCGCAGTCCACTCTTCTGAGCATCTTCTCCCTGGAGTACCAGGTTAGAAGTTTTCTTCCTTTGTGAGCCCTGACAGGTGCCTAATTGAATGATGAATGTCCCTTTATTTCTTTGTAATTGAACTGCCAGCTCTCTGATTGGTTTGGAGGATGCCCCCCACCATACCCCCGTTTATTTCACCCCCCACCCCCTCCCACTCCTTTTTTTTCACCCCCCACCCCCTCCACCTCCTCACGTTCATGTTGAGGGCCCTTGCCTGCCTGAGCCTCAGTGGATCCCTGCCAAGCCTTCCCATCCATCTGTCTAATAACATCTAGCCCCTGCTTATTTGGTGGACCTGTAATAAATTATGCTACACCATTATTATTCTGGCAATAATAATTTCCCCGTGTAGTGCGGCTGCATGTGCTAAATGTTTGCTGACTCGCACTGTCACTGCTGCTTTCCACGGCTGACAGCGGATGATGATAAATGGCCGCTGCCGCCAGTGGCAGAAGGCAGCACAGGCAGAAAATGGAGTCATTTATCATCCCCCTGACAGGTGTCAGTCACACTCCCTATCTCTGTGGAATTACATTTTTTTTGTGTAGTAGTTTTTAAATAAGTTGTTTTTAACCAATGTTCTTCCTCTTTTATCCCTTGTTCTCCTCCATCTCAGCAAAGAAATTCATAGAAATGTCAGTGTGTGGAATCCGGTCATTGTTTGATCGAAAAAGGGGAAATGAATACAAGGTTTGAGTGAGGGAGGGTAGAGAGGGATGGGGGATTTTAAATAAGGTTGCTTTGACACACTTTGACCCCCAGTAAACGTATTGAAAATAAATTACTGTGACCTAAGATCTTGTACACTTGTTTGTAGCATGAAAGAGGAGCCCAGTCTGAAGTAGTCGGCATCTCATTCATGTGCACCAGGAAAATGTAACATAAATAAATAGTATGGAATCATTATTATAATTGTTTTTGTTTTTTATATTTGTGTTTTCTTCATGACAGAAACGAACCAAAAGAACGATCTCAAAACACCATACGCCAGATGTTATTGAAAACCACTACCAAAGGTACCATCTTACCTTGTATAGTATTACTTTACTGTTTTTTCTCTTCTGCCTAGTACTCTCTGTTTATCTTCCTCTCACCTTTACCATTGTTCTGTTGTTTGACTGAGGAAGCGACTTGCCAAAATCACTTGAGAGTAGGTGGGCCACCATGAGAGAGATAATCACCTCAAAACAAATCATCACCCTCAGGACTCATTCCAGACCTTCACATGCTCCTGCTAAGCTAAACCTCTGGTCTCCATGTATAAAGCAATAAATAGCCAGTCACTGGACATGTGTCTTACACAGGCTTTGGATGGGATGATTATCTGTAATTCAATGACTATGGATAAATTAAAAAAAATGAAAAACAGGCTGTGAAGGGAAAGCCTTTTTGCATATTGCAATTAGCCTTTATCTAACTTATTAGGCCATTGTTCTGGGGACAACAAGGCTGGATAATGCACTTCTAATCCACTTAGAACAACAAACCTCAGAGATGATCTGGGTAAGATCTGAGGGGAGCTGCACTTTAGCTGGCGAGGGGAAAAAAGGCTTTCTGGGTGGCAGGGGTTAACTAACTATCGTATGCTTGTCTGGCTTCAAGGAAATTTGAAGCCTTTCAAGCAGTGCTGTTTTTAACCGCACCAAGCCCGCCATATGCCACCTAGGGCAAAGTCATCAGGGACATTAGCATGTCTTGGCTGGCCTGATCTAGTCCCCTCTACACTTCTGTCTGCCTTTGTGGGCCATGTTTTTTTTTTCTTTTTCACTGCTGTTGTTCTTTGTTATAATGAAGGTATCTGAGTGAAGCCAAAGCACATCCCACTGCTCCTGTCCTGCTGGAGTTGGCCAATGAGGTAATGGCATAACCTTTAATTTTTGTCTTTTCTTTAACCCTTGAAAAACTGTCCTCAATTGATGCTTGATACTTACTGAGATGGCTGCAGTGTTTGATTTTCTCCCTTGCCTGTTAGTCATTACCAAAATTGGTAAATTGGTCCGCTCCATTATCAATTATTTAATGTAATTAGCTCTCACCTCTATTAAGCAGATGTGAACATACTTTTTGTGTTTTATTATGTAATTTTCTAAATTGCAGTTCAGGTAGAGTTGCCACAAACTGCGGACAGATGAGGCCATGTTTATTGGTTAATGCCTGTCTTCATCACTTCTTCGGTTGTTTACTTTAGGAGGTTAGAGTAGAATTTGTATGCAGGTTGATGTAGTACTAAATGGCATTTGCATATATAAAATTCAACACATTATTCTGTGGTACATGACTCAGGGGACAGTGGCTGTTTGATACATGTGATATTTTAAGCACTTGAATTAGTCACATGACCAATTTTTTCCATTTCACATAAGTGAAAATTAATGTACTCACTAGTGTTTCTTCCACTTTTGCATTTATTTATTTGTCATTTGAATACATTGTTAGTCTTACAGTTTTCTCACATTTTGGTTGCTAGAATGTGCTGGATAACCTTTTAAAACATTAAAATGTTCATTAACATTTTTATTGGTGCTTATACCGGGCACTGAGATTTGAGGGTTTTTTCATCTAAAATCAGAGTAGTTCACATGCATCAGTGGCACGTCAAAGCTAACTGCCATTATTCATTCTCTATTTAATTGACACATCATTTTTTTTTCTCCAAAGGATTAAATTCAGCTCAGAGATAACGGTCTATGAACCATTTAACTGTCATTTTAATATGCTACTTAACATTTAAACTGAGCACTCATGGTCTCCCAGACTGCTAATTGATGTAGTTTCATCCCTTTATGAGACAATATATCTCCAACAAAGGGAAATGATTAACAGTGATGAAAAATATTCATGTATTTCTTTTTTTGCCCCCAGAAGACGTCCATGAATGAGGGTTCTAAACTTGACAATTGCTGTTCATTGTACACTTTGTATGGTGCTTTCTGTAGAGGTTGTTTAAACATTCAGGCTTTAGAACAGGTGCAGTTATGCTGTATTTTATGTGACACCTATTAGCTCCTGGGTCTAATAAAACTAGAGTTTACTGAACAATAATTACTGTATTTCAACAGGAATGCAAGGCTCTGTGAATCTTAGTCACATGTTAAACTCGTGAAATGCTTAGACCTGAGACTGGAGGTGGACTCATGATTAATATGAAAATTAGTGAGATGCAAGTACCTGAACTAATCAGGTGATCCTTATTCAGCCTGAGCCAGCATCGGTAATGTTGCCATTTTTCATGTGTCAGCTCTGATACAGGTTACCAGGAATCTAATGCTCTCTTGTTATCCAAAGGTGTGAATGGAGAGTAGGCCAATAAGCACAAAAAGGGAAGGAGGGGAAAAAGAAGTGGAGAGAAAATGAGGTGATTTAAGGAGAGAGAGGAAAACTAGCTATAGGCTACAAACGCTGAAATGCTATCAGAGTTCTTAATGAAGATGCAATAAAAAGCATGTGCTAGTCTCTTAATTATTATAGACATGTTTGGCCTTTGTTACAAGCTGCCTTCTTAGTGCAGTACTGTGGAGATGCTGTCAAATGCTACTGCAGGTAAAAAGACATTTTTACACACAAACCTCTCTGCTCCCAGCTTTACCAAGAAGCATCAGAGAAAAGATGAAACATGTCAGTCCCACCACAGGCTGAAGGCAAATCCACTTTTGGTCCCCAATTATGCAAACAAGAGAAAAAGAAGTCATCTTTGGTTGCAAGTATGTTGTGTTTCATAATAAGCCGGCTAGGAATGGCAAAGTCTTCTAGCAGTGTTTTAATTGTCTGTACTGTAGATGTTGTGAAATTTAGTCATGAATGACTTAAATTGTCTTCTTATTTCCAGCATATAGATTGCTTTAATAAAGGTGAAATGCTGTGCTTTCAAGAGATGGTTTATCTCATTTAAATTATTTTCGCCTTGTGCTGGCCTTGAGAATATCTGTTGGTTCTTCAATATGCCATTATAATACTTAACAATAATAACAGTACTGTATATATTGGGTTGGAAGACTGTGATAGGTATTTTGTGAAAGGTCAGGAAGATAACTTTGGGATCAGTCATTAGTGCTTCCTTACCTATCAAGGCTTCAGAGTGGAGCAGCCATGGTTCCTATCCTTCCTATTAAGGACTGCATTCCTCTGGTGTGTCCTATTGGTTTTGCATTTTATCATTCAAGTTTTCCATTGCCTCTAACTTGGCATAATGCTGCTTTTTCATTCGAGATGAGAGACTACTGTTGTCCATTTGACAGAAGCAAAGGCAATTCAGTCAAGTAGCTTGACTGTGTAATGGCTGATCTCTTGTTCTTGTTGGAAAAGTTATTGCAAAGCAAGACTTGCAAAGACCAATTTGCACAGGGGTTGTCAAATTTGTGTCCAGATTTGGAAGTACAATAATAAAATGTGTTATTATTTACAGCCAATATTATCTATGTGATAGCCAAAGGTAGATTGGCTATGTATACTAAGTGTGGTATTCTTAAGTTTTTTGAAATAGGCCTGCACTTCCAGTTGGATATGTGGGATTTAGTCTGAAGGTTTGTAAATGGAGCAGTGCTCCAGAGAGGAATAACAATTTGGCTGTACCTGTGTTTTGAAGCTGTATATAAACTCCCCACTGACTCCAGATCTTGTTTTTTATTAAAGGTAATTCTCTTTTTGGTTGTTCAATCTATGTAAAGGTGGATCTGTCTCCTGCACTGATGGCTCGTATCATCCTGGACAGGTTCCTACAGGACATGGAGGGTGGAATGCGTGAGTAACACGTTTCCATTTCCCACTTTGCCCTTTCTATCATTTGCTCCCCCATCAGTCTTAATTGTAACACTTTGTCTTTTGAATCTGTTTCTGTTTGAGTCCCAGTTCTCGCTGTAGCAGCTGTATTTTCAGTCTGTCCAAGCCTAATGAAAGATAGACCACATTTAGTAGTAGCTGCATCCCAGGGCACATGACTGGCAATTAAGCACTGGGAGGACCATCTACCTCTCAGCTGCAGTTTGGATCAATGTTAGCTCACCTCATCAGTGTTATTTATAATGCCCCTGATTTCCTCCCTTACCCGTCTTCATCCCCCGGTGCATCCATCTACCCCAACTTCTTTTCCTCCTTCGTCTCCTTCTCTTTCTCCAACCTTACTGTGGCCCAGGGAGGAAACCAAGTTGAGGAATAGTATGGAAGAGGCAACAAACCATTCCAAGGTAGCGCTTATGGACACACTGCAAGAAGACAAAGTTCCAGATGCAAATTTTTTTTCATACAAAGGGATTGTACAAAAATTGCATACATTGTGGTTATGTTTTTTCCATCATAGTAAATTTGTTTACATCATCTTTTTGCAAACCTGTTTGTAGAAGAATTCCCTCCTTCTTTTTTCTCAATCTGGGATTCCCAATATCATATGCACAGATGGTTTCATATCATTTCATGGGACCTGTCTTGAGGACTGGGTGGGTGTGGGTGTGTGTGTGTCTGTGCAGTAGTCAGTGCTTTGAGAGTGAATCGCATGATGTCAAAAAGACATGCTTCCAATTTAATCAAGAAGGAGATTAAAGTGGAGGTGTGTTATTTTCAACTTCGCCACAGCACAGCCATTTGTCAAAGTCAAAGATGTGATTGCTTTGGACCCACCGTTATCCAATGCCTGTCAAAATACTGGTTTGAGCAGCCTGTAGAACAGGGCATTCATCCAAGAGAAACACTCAGATAATAATGCACTGTATCCCTCCATCTCCATACAGTGAAAATATGCTGTATTATTGGTGAGAGTGGATTTGTAGCAGACAAAACTTCCTGGTTGATCATTGTTTAATTTCACAGCAGTTTTGTAACCATGCAGCATCTCTCTGTCTGTGGGCCTGCGTCTTGAGGAAAGTGATTTCACAGAGACTAATGTACTTACTAAGGACTTGCTGTGACTGAAACACCATAATTTAGATTAGGTTAATATCTAAAATAGTTTACCTGCCAAATGAATATAACACATTGCGTCACACTGTACTTTCCCACTGTTGTCATTGTCATTGACTGTGAGGATAACTTCTGTCTGACAGAGCTTGTCTGTAGTCTCCTCATGACCACTTGGCCTTTGCAAATGAATTGCTGCCCACTTGGGCTGCACGGTCACATCGTCCAATCTCCCTGTGTGCATATTAGACTTAGTAATGTGTTTCCATTATGAAACAATGCAAGGATAATTGTCTTTGCTGGCAATTAGCTAGCAGGTTGGTTCAGTGCTATTGGCAGGCATATCTGTCATGCCCCTCCACCCCCACCAGCCCCAGACTGCTCCAGTGTTCATGTGTGTGTATTTGAGTGTTTTTGTCAGAGTCCAGAGGGAGGGCAGGCAGGCGCACTGCAAAGATCAATAGACTTCTATATAAGGGACATTACCACCAACTGGTTGAGTGGCTTGCCTTTGCCTAGCACCATTAAGAGACACAGGAATGGGGCCTTTGGGACTGTGGAATATATGTACAATCACTAGTGCTGGATCAATACAGAGTTTTAAATTGTTTTCTCTCCCTTCCTTGTTTTGTTTTGCTTGCTTGTTGTTGCCCTCCTTCCCTTCCTCTCCCCTTCTCACTAGCTGTACGCGCTACTACCACCACACCTCAACATGACGACACCACAGACGCACCGAGCTGCCTCCCCCCTCACCTTGCAGCAAAAGTATTGGAGAAAGCATCAGTCAGACAGAATGAAAGACTATCTGGTGGCGTTTGTAAATAAATCAATACATTCAAAGCAGTTTCATCACGTATTGAATATGATATCAACATCCATAATGCTCCTTGTCTCATGAAAACAGACTGGGCAGTAGGGGAGAAAAGGTCACATGTGCACTTTATGCTGTTTATATCCACTATTTGCAGGTGGGAGCTGCACTATAGTATATATGATTTTTGGGCAATATACAGAATAATGAACCAGTTGAAACCTCTTTAATGTATATGCCAGAATTCCTTTCAGGGTTGTTTTTAATAAACCTAAGTGCACAACACTTTGGATCCTGGACATGAATACTACACTATTTAGTATGAAAATAGTGAATGCAAAAGTAGGACAGCAAACACATGTATTTTTATTACAGATTTTTCCCTATGTATTTTTTTTTTCCAAAAAGATGTTCCCATCATAATTTACTATTCCAAGGCCCAAGTGATTCCTTTCTTACTGGAATGACAGGAATCTGTTTAACTGCAAAAAAGTTAAATATAATTGAATTGAGCCAAACTGGATAGAATGTTTTGTGATGGTCTAGAATACGTGACTTGATTTAAAATGAAACAAGGTGGAAAGACCATGCTTGAAAGGCTGTAGCAAGCAAATGTTCTGTGTTTTAACTGATTCTCTAAACAGATTAATTTTGAATTGAAATGAAAATTAAACCATTATCGCTGAAATGCATTGAAGTCACTGCTCCAAATAATGGTGCAATTGACCCATAAATTGTACTGTAAAATAAGTTTAGTTTAAAAATATTTAAAGTATGTAAGTTGACAGAGTTGATGTTCGACATTGGACAGATATAAGCTGACTAAATTCATCCTGTGTTCACACTATACTGTATGTCTCAGCCCACTGATAAGCTTTGTAAATAATATTACATTGTTAACAGCTACATTGTCATTCTAACTCTAATAGATACTACTTCTCAGAAGTCACTAGGCACATTGGGGGAGCTCCTGCTCTTTCTTTTCCCCTTCCTGCTATCTCTTCATCTTTCTCTCTATTCCTCCTTTTGACAGGAGTTGATGTGCCTCTAGATTTAAACATACTTTTTTGAGGAGGCAATTTTGCTAGCTATTTGACCTTTTCCATTTTCCCAAGGCCCAGCTCCAGATTAGATTGCTGCTCCATGTTTTGTAACTATGTGATTCGACAGCCTTTAAGATTTATTGTCACATTCCTTTACAGAAGCCTTGTACGCAAGGTTATAAAGGTCTTGTGTTTGATGTTAACACTGTGAGAATGTTAGCGCTGACTATGATCCTTTGGTTTCTTGACAGAATTCATAATAGGTACAGTGTTTTGCAGATCAGACGTGTTGATAACTGATATTGTATTATGCTCTGTCCAGTAAAATCTCAGCTTAGTATCCACTGTGATTGTTATGTTTCCCTTTTCTCTTGTTTTCAAGTGCTCCTCTCTTCTCTTCCTTACCTCTCAGCTGTGGCAGAACTGGTGTGTATACGCAACCCTTTTTTCAAGTAATGAGAGCAAGGGTACTTCAAGAAGGGAGGGGTTAAGGAGGCAAAGGCAGCTTGAGTGTTTCTGTGCATGTGTGGGTATGCATACAAGTGGTGGGTGCAAAGGAGGTAAGCAGCAGCGTGGCACTTCACTTGACAAGTATACTAATTACTCCTTTTCAGCAGAGAAGCTCCAGTCAGCCTCTGCCACAGTCTAATGGCCTGACCTGGGAAGCTTCTTTCCATAGCAGAGTCTTCCCAGATCTACTATTACGACTGCCACACACACACACACACACACGTACACACAGAAATGTAGAGTCTCATCTCACTGCTATCAGGGAGAATCAGGTGGAAGCAGATCAGTTCTGCCCCAGTAACCTCTTCAGGGAGTGGGCTCCGCCTGCACAGGAGATACCACCTCCTATCATCAACTAGCACCTACACACCACCACAGATCTCTTAAAAACTGGGGTTCCCTCCCCCCTTGCTCTTTCTCTCTCTCACTCACTCACTCTATCTCTTTCTCTCATTCCCATCTTCTGTTTTTTTTTTTCTTCAGTACGGGAGGATAAATTTAAAAGGAGTAAATTGGAAAATCAAATGAGGGCTTTAGGCAGCCGCAGAGATTTGCAGAGCTGTCGGCCAGCGTCGAAGAGCCTCATCCATCATGTCCCACAAGTAGTCAATTCCTCTAGTATCTGTAAATGTTTTCAGATATTAGCCAATTTATATGCTCCGAGATTCATCATGGAAAATCAGCTTTAGCGGTGCACATTATCAGGACCTGTCTCTCCCTTGCTCCATGAAGTTTGATGAACGAGTACCCCTCCACAGCTCAGTGGCTTGGTGCATAGGGAGTGTGTGTGTGTGTGTGTGTTTGGGGGGGGCACATAGAGGAAATGGGTAAATGCCCCCCAAACCGTAGGAAAAAAAAAGTGGGTTTTTTAATTAATAAACAAACTTGCAGAGGAGCTCATCAGTGTCAGGGGCAATAACAATCGTCATCCGTTATTGTTTATTACGTTCCTCCCTCAACAAATGTTGCTATCTAATGAGGTTTCTCGACATTTTTTTTTAGGTTTGAGATAATGACTTTTTCACCCTAGTGGAGAAAGGAAGAGTAGTTACAAATGACACAAGTAAGCAATGAGAAATCAAACCAAGGTTATGTTGCTGTTACCTTGCTCCATATAGTTTATCTTGTTTTGGAGTTGCATATGAAAACAGGCTGGTGATTTGTTTACACCCATTGTTTTCTTTAGCAAATCCCAATGGAGGCGTAGTGTTTCACATCTATTATTCTCCTCTTTCCTTTTTGTTCTGATGTTGACGGTGCGATATGGTGCTTTAGTCAAAATTTATACCAACATGAGACAATTACAGTAAATTTGGTGAATGTTTACAAGGTGCAAAGTTGTGCTGCAGGGCTTTGTTCTCTGTGTCTGGTATTCTTGAGATGATGCTTTTTATTTTCCTTCATGTGTTTTATGTGTGCTTCTGTGTGTGCCTGTGGTGTGTGTATTTAAGGAGCGTGGCGTGTGTGGCAGAGAGGAGCTCAGGGTGTCATAGAGGAGTGCTGCCGTGCAAGGCGGGGGCGTCTTTAATAAATGTATGCTGATGTCGGAGGCTGCAATGATGCGAGGGATGCAAGGGCCCTGTTGTTATTTACTGCTGTGTTTGTGCACAGCAGCGAATCCTGGGCCTACAAATGGCATTACAGCCTGTGATAAATGAGCATTAGGGTAAACTCATTTTAAAAGCATTCTGATTTATTAGCAGCCTGGCCTTCCATTTTCATCAGGTCAATGCTTGGCTGAAATTCCACAATGTCAGCGCCAAGGTCACCTCTTTATGGCTATTTTTAACCCCATCATTCAGAAAGAGCAGGGGAAATGGATCTTGTCACTTATTATGGCCATCTACCAAAAATATCAAAACACTGGCGACACAAGGACAGAGAAACAGAAATCTAGTCCTGGAAGTGTGTGTGTGTGTGTGTTATGTGAGACCAAAATGTGGTGGTGGTCAACCTCCAATTATGAACCCTAGTAAGACAAGAGCTTTAATGGCTACCGTTTGCCTTCAGAGAGGTTTATTACACACTACTGTTTTGCAGAAGCAGCGTCAAATCTATAAAACGACCATTAGGAAGAGGGAAAAAATCAATCAAAATGCCATTAAAGTGGAATAAGTTGCCAATATTGCTGATGTGGTTGCGGGTCCTTTGATTTTCCTTCAGATTATTAGGCACAGTCGAGTAGTGACTTTGTTAAGGGAAACCAGTGTTGTTGGGGAGTAATATGTCTCCTGGCTTCATAAAGTTTGCTGCCTCATATTTCCTGCTTTATTGATTATCCATTATCATTTGTCATGAGGTGTCCTAACTCAAGGGGAAAATATAACCCTCTCTCTTCACTGCCGCCTGCACTGCACAGGAGCATGGTATGGATCTGCGTGTGAAGGTACCAATCTCTGAGAAAAATGAGCAAAGAAAGAAAGCACAGCCCTGTGCCTTGCAGCTCTAAGAGGCAGTGTGGGGTTATGGGGTGGGCTGGAGGAGTACCATGGCTGGGAGACACTGAAAAAGAGAGAAGGTAACAAAAAAGCGGAAGGGGGGGGGAGAGAAAAAGATGGAGATAAAGAAGAAGAAACAGAAAGAGAGGAGGGAATGCTGAATGGGTGTTGTTTTTCCTCCACCCTCCTCCCTCTTTATTTCATCATGAGGCAGATGGGATATCACAGCACTGTTTGTCCTCTTTGTGATAATTTTCTCAAGGAGTATTGCCTTTGAAAGAAATGCACATGTTAAGATAGGACAGAAAAGAAAGGTATTAAAGGTTTTAAAATGCTCTTCTAAATGCCTTTCTATTAATAAAATTCATTTAACAGACACAAGTTATCTAGTCAGCATTTCTAAATGTAGACCCAAGTCTTTTTCACTTAATCTTTTTTTAGGGATCCTGTGTGCAGTATTGGTGCAGGCACCATCCATGCCTGAAATGTGAATAGAAACAACCCTTGTATTGTCTGTAATGCTGCAAGTCTGTCAAGACAGTGTGTGTATATATATATATCACCAAAATGGCGCATCTCAACCATTTCGTCACACAGTGATACAATCCATTTAATTCAAATCTTTTTAAGAAATGATTTAAGGAATTTTTTGCTGTTGCAGTACAAGCGAATCAACCCACCAGGCTTTCCTTTCTGATTTATAATGTTAGTAGAGCAAGAATGGGGAAGAGAGATGCAGAATAGTCAGTGTTCATAACATAGATAAACTACATGGGGCTCCTGTGCTCTGAGCTAAGACATTTATCTATAGAAAATCTCTACACCAAGCAGCCATCTGATGGACTAGTGTGGAAATACTGCACTGACAGTGGCATGGTAAATTACAGTATGTCAAGCCTGTCTTTTGTCTCTATATTTTTGGGGTTTGCTTTTGCAGCAGTTAAATTTTTTACCAACGTAATAAAAAAAAAAATCTAACATGCTACAATATTCAATCATTTGCATAATAAAATTTGTGATCTTTGTATTTGTTTCTCTCCCTTTTTTTGTTCCCAGCCTCTAAAACAGTTGTCAGTACTATGCTTAAGGAGCCATCCTTGATTCCAGACCCAATTTTGGCCAATAACATATACCAAGTAAGTGTTTTAATTTTTAAATTTAAACAGATATGTCATAGGAAGTCATTTAAATTATTTATATATGTAATTGTATATTCATGTTTTAAATAGTTCAGTGAAATTTTATATAAACTTAGAACATTTGTTACCCTCCCCTTCACATGTAACAGATGTACTGCTTCCATGCAGTGAGTTTTTAAATGTAGCACCTGATTGACAGAAGGCATCAGCCACTCATGTTTGCTTATGAGGTCACGTGAGAGCCGGCGGTCATGCCTGCTGCTCCGCCAGCATCTCCTGTGTTCTCTTCTTTCCCAGCACTGTATGGACTTCCTCGCCTCACCTCTTTTCCACCCACCCACCCTTTTCACACACCATAATATTTCTTGCCCCCTTTTTTCAGTGCACAATAAATGACTGCTGTTATGGACCGCTGGTAGACTGCATCAAACAGTATCCTATCCCATAAAATTTTAAGCCTGAAATTGACGAGGAGCTATTGAAGGGGATGAGATGTGTCTGACTTCACCTGACATAAAAGTTCTGCTTCACAGAGGAAGTGTTTCATCCTGCCTTCCATCCCACTACCACCGATACAGCAGCTGGAAGGTGATGGAGGGAAGAGGAGAAGGAGGAGAGGATAGGGTGATCTAAATGCATATCCATGTGCAGGCAGTGGATCAGACCCAATGTTCTATGATACAAGAAAGAAAATTAGCACTCATAAGCCTGATGGTCATTGATGTGTTTTTTTGTTGTTTATTTAACCCACAGGATTTGTTATTTGATGCTAATTACAAAAATATGAGTTATTCTTTTTAACTGGACTGTTCTTGGGTTTGCTAACTTGCATGATGTTCAGTACCAGGAAGCAGGCTATGTATCAGTCCAACTTGTACTGTTAATTTCCGTTTCACATTGGTTTTATTTATTTGTACCTTATGTGTCCAGTCTTTCCCTTTCCTTTGTTTGTCAAACAAAAAAACAACAAAACAAAAAAACGCCTTCTCTAGTTGAGGCTTGACCTTGACTACAGGGGCAGAACTGGAGTGCAGGCTATTCAGATGCAAACAGCTGGGTGGCAGGCCGACTGTTTCCTGGGGGAAGAGACTTATTTGAATGAGTGACATGTGTATGTCTGTATATTATTGTGTCTGCTTAGGCTTTCGTGTGTGTGGTGTGGCTGGGTTGTTTTGTTCATAGCCAGTCAACCCTGTCCCACCCTGCCCTCCTTGCACATCCCCCTTTTACCTTTCTTTTGCAGTCCTCTCATCAGTGTCAATTTAGAGTCAGTTAACTGTTTCACAAAGAGTTCACAATAACCACCCCTCTACCATGTGCCTTCAAGGATGTCCGCACAAAAGAGGAGTAGCTCTTAATGCATAAGATTGTATAAATCAGGAAATGCATGTATTAGAAGCCATTTTTACTGATTAGTGTTTGCAATACCCTAAGAACTTTTCTCTCTGCCTCTTGTGGTGAGCAGTTTATGCATGATATACTGTACCTGACCTTTCTGCGGCATCAAGAATCACCGTCATGATGCAAGATGGCATTTATTTTAAAAGCATTTTTTTTTCCAGTGTTTTTAGAGGAATGAGTGGGACCAGTAGTCCATGCTCTCAGTGCATTTTGCCAAATTGGCATTAGTTTTGTCTTCTTCATTTAGGTAATGCACTTTGGAGATTTGTTGTGAAAACGGATTAAGGTTGACCTAAAATCTCTGGTTGCACTCTCGTTATACATCGGCATGAAGAGTTTCACTTTACTGTACATAGTAAGTCAACAGTGGACAAAAGTAGATTCTCAACTTTAACTGATGTTAAACATACACGTGCACAACTGAGCTTGCATTACCTAATGTCTTGCATGTTGTTGCCACAGCAACCTAGAGTATATGTTGTGGTTTCCATAGTTTGGTAATTGCCGAGTCCCCATTCTACCTACACGTTTTGGTGTTTCAGCAGACGTATACAGTAGAATACTGCTCTTGCTGTACTGTGTGTTGGAATCCTTGACACTGTTCTCAGCGCTATTGGCCAAGAGCATGAGGTGCTGCTTCGTGACAAACTGAAGGAGAGGAACCTTTCCTTTCTAGGTAAGCCATCTCTTGACCTTCTCATCTTTTATCTTTTTTTAAGTCGGTTTGATCATGGTGGTGCAGCCTTTTTGTAAGCTTAGTAAAGGAAAACCTGGGCATGACTGATGCTGAGGATGTTATCTCCTATTGATTTGAACTAGGAGCTGTTATCAAATATCCTTGAATGTTTATCCACCGGCCTACAATGAATATTTAAAGAATAAAAGCTTCGAAGGTAGCTCTTAAGGTTTCATTAGTTGCAGTATTCTGTTCTCTCAGGTTACTGCTGAGTATTTTCTTTTTCTAAAATGGATGAAATTGGCTTGTTTCTTTTTACATGAACATGAGTATAATGGTAGTGCCATTAAGGGGATCCCTGACTGCATCTTGGTAACCAATTACATTTGTGTAAAAATAGGTCATTTTCTTACTATCTTAGTTTTCTAACACTATAGTCTTATTCCAACATTATTAAATCAAGGTAGTGTGTCCAGGTGTGAAATTGTCAAACAGAATTTTAACCCCCCCCTCTTCATCCCCATCCCCTAGGTCAGATGGGTGATGAAGAATAAAAGTAATTCCCTCTGTCATTAAAACCATATCATTTACTTGGACCTGCAGTGCTGACCTTTCTTCAGGGCTATACAGAGGACTGTTCTAAAACTGTCAGAGTTCAGGGGGCATGAGGGCCACAGAGGCACCCTCACCCCATCTGATAAATGGATTGGAAATAAGCTACCCAACAACAGGGATGGCCCATTAATTTTAATCAAAGGTGATCAGAGCCACAAGACAGTGTCAACAGCCCAGTAGGAGTGAGTGGAGGACACCACCCAGGATGTCCCTCTGCAGGCCTCTGGCAGCCTCGCTGACCTCGCTCAGCTCTCTTTCTCCATCCTTGGCTGATGCCACCTCCTCACCACCATCACACCGCCACCCTCCATTTCTCCTCAATTCCCTTCCATGCCTCATTAGTTGAGCTTGGCTGGAGACAAAGAGGCAGACTCTTTCAAACTGAATGACCTGGTCAGCCTGAGATTTAATGGAGAAATCAGGTGTTATAGGGATAACGGCCGAAGCGCACCAGAAGTCAAGGACAATGACTGCAGCCTTCGCAGGCAGGGGTCAGGCTTACATAGGCTATAATGCCAACCTTGTCCTCTTGCTGTATATTTTATAAAGCACTGCCAAACTGCAAATGGCAGTGCAGCTCTGTAACTGGGCTTTACAGGTTTTTGTGCGGTGACAGCAAATGTGTGGTAGATGTAATGGATTTACTGTACTTGTGCTTATCTCCTGTTATTTTGTCTGTTTTGCTAGCACTGAGGGTTTTTGTTAAAAGCACCTTGGTGAAAGCAGTTTTCTCGGTAACCTATGACTCGTGAGCATAGTATAGAATGGTTACCTAAAATAACTTCAGAATGAGAATTATTTCAGTATAACAGTCAGATGTTAAGATTCTGTTCTTCATCTCCTGTAGATGAAAACCAGCTGAGAGCTATGGGCTATGACAAAACACCTGATATCATCCTGGAGGTCCCCGTTGGTTAGTATTTTTATAATAAATGTCAGTGTTTATCTGAAATAACAGACTGCTAACTTTAGGTGACTTTTTGTCAGAAAGGTGTATGCACTTGTCAAAATGTTGTCATTTTAATGGCAGACCTCTTTTGATTTTTGTGAATGACAGGGGAAACAAATTATGAAAATGTCACTTGTCCCTTCTAGATCTTGTTTGTTTTGCCTTCTTGATGTCAATTTTTCTGAGTGTTGCTGTGTGGTTTTTTTTTTTATGAAAAGCTGTGGAGGGACACATTGTACACTGGATTGAGAGCAAAGCCTCATTTGGAGACGACCACAGCCATCGCACCTATCTCAATGAACAGTTCTGGAGCTACTGGAACAGGCAAGTCTTCTGTCCACGTTCTCATCCCGTTGTGTTGTTTGTCTTCTGTTTCATGTGCTTTATCTGAATAGAGTGTATAATGCAGCAGCTACTATTTTCCCAGTCTGTGTATAGTTTATAACGTCTCCTTTTTGACCACAGCCCACAATCAGCTTTTCTCAGTATTATTAAGGCAACTCATATCTCTGTCTAACAACACTGACCCCTTCCTCCCTGGGATAGACCACACTAACCCCAGACTTCCTTATGGTACATCTGTACATCATGCTACTTCCACATCCCCACCTGTCAACCTGTCACTGCAGTGCTCAGTGGCTCTAAGCTTGATTGTTTTCTAGAGTAATACACTATTTATTTGTTTGTTTTTATTTTTGGAACGGAAAGTTGGGTAATGGGTGATTAATCTATTGTATCTGTTGTCATGAGAACTCTGGACAAAAACAGGCCCTGGTGGCTCTCGTCCTCGTCCTGGGGGAACAGAAGTGTGCATTTCAGTGCTAGAATAAAATTAACAACATACAGATTTTACTTTTCCCATTGTCTCTTGTGTAAAGAATTTTATCTAGATTATTTTTACACAGAGAACACCAACTTCATTTATTTTGTGTTCACACTGTGAAAGCACAAGGTTATACCCCTTTAAAGCCCCTTTCAAGAATCTTAACCATTAATCTGACGGTATCTTAACACATTGTCTGAATGAGAACCCTGATCACTGTCCTGTAAAAGTTATGTTGACAATAACCTAGTAACAGTTACGTATCATGTTTAACATGGCACAAGTCTGAAGTGCATGCAGTCACATTAACAGATAGGCATGCCCAAGATTACGATGTACTTACATAGGACATTGTTACATCTTGTGGGCTTACCAATCATGACAGTAGGTGTCTGTGCATGTCTCTTGTGCATCTTTTTGAGTTGCTGAGCTCACTAAAGACACAGCTGTTTTGGAGAATGTCCTAAACAGCAATAACATGAGGGAAAAAAAAAATTCTCCTCAAACATGTTTGTCCACCGTGTTGTCATAAAACTGGCCTCATACATTATACGTAACCTTATGTGCTGTGTACCGTGGCTCTCTATGTCATGACTGTGGGTATGTCTGAATGAAGCCATGAGGAACATTAATGTAAACATGATGTATGTCTGAATGACAGGAAGCCATTGATGAAAACAGCATTATTACTTGTCCCATGTCTAAAAGGGGCTTTATATAGTCATTTACTGCTGGTTCATAGTTTCTTTCCTTATCAAATGCTAGCAAAACTAACTTGCTGTTGTACAAAGTGTCATCAGCCTATTATCCAAATCGTTTAGCACAATACTCAGTGTTACACTGGCTAAATTTCAAACTGAAGTAATAAGGTACACAACGTTTCTGTTGTGGTACACACAAGAGTAGTGGCCGATCACACATGGTCTTTACATCCCTGCCTCCTTTATCACAAGGTTCCAGTCGCCAAGTTGAAAAGTCGCCCACACTGCCTCCATTCGCCTCGCTACTTCCCCCATCCCCCAGCCGTGACGGCCAGCTGACATGTTGTGACATAGTGCTGGAGTGCTGTGAGGTTCCAAATCCCAGGCACAGCTAGACTTTCTCCTTCTCTTTGTCTTTGTTTTTGTTTGCTTGGTGCATGTACAGTACCGGATCAGATTCCTGGATCTGTCAAGAGCACAACAGAATGAGAAGCTGTTTATCGAATGAATTTTCATGTATTTTTTATGCATTGTTTCCCAACCTGAAATAATTCATCTGTTGTCTGCCTATCAGAGATAAGATAGTGAAAGAGTTATTTATAGCAGATTTTTCCTGTAGATAACCTATTTTCCTTTCAAAACAAGTCATTATATTTATTCTCTTATAATTTTAGCCTTGGTCGTCACAACCTGACCCAGAGCAAGAAACAAAAAATGGAGTCAGACAAAAATAAAGGTTAAAAAAATCGAATTTATCATACTTAAACTAAAATCAAATTAGTGTGTAGTGCATGCCAATAATCTCAAAACCAGGGGGCTTGTAAGGAAGATGAGAGAGAGAGAGAGAGAGAGAGAGAGAGGGGTTAGAAACTAAAGCTACTTAAATAGACTTATTCATTTGGTCATGAATAAAATGAAAGGAAATAAATATCATCATACCCAGGAGTTCTAGAGACTATTGTGCATCCTATAGATAATGTAAAATTTTTAAGTGGCATTTTCTTCAAAGGCAGTTCCAAAATATGTTAAGATGTGCCAATTATTAAAATAATAATAATAATAATATTATTAAGAAATGGGGAATTCTCGTTCCATGTTGCCCCTGCCAACTAACCTACTGATTTGACTCAGTAGTTGCAGCAGAACATTCATTTGATTTTCAAGGGAAGATGACTCATCCAATATCATTGAGTAGGTCATAATCAATGGTGTGTTTTATTTTGTCAGGGTTACATAGTTTTATTTGTAAATGGCCTGCTTCCAGAAGAAAACCTATTATTGTCATCAGGAACTAAAAGTCACTGAGGGGTGAATTTTAAAAGAGCTAGTCTTTGATGGTTATGATTTTTTGTTAGATCTCATTAAATGCTTCTAAGAAAATTGATGAATAAAATAAAAAAAACTTTGTTTAAGCTCCATACCATTCCTAGAGAGCGGTTAATAAGAAAGTACTTAAATGATTGCTGTCTCAGTCAGTCAAACTTAAAATGATGTGAAGAGAGCTCATTTGATTAAAACCACAGGCATAATATAGAGATCAGATGTCTACAAAAATATTTCGTTGTAAAACTCGGTGTCCTTTCTTGGTTTAGATTTAAGAAAATCTGTTTTTAATCTTCGTCTTTGGTACTCATGGCATTAGTTTACGGTAGGTCAAAACAGAATACTAACAGCTTGATTGGACGGTTAAGGTTAGTGTCAGCCTTACATGTTTGCCCACGGGTGTCTTTCATTGATATTCACTGGGTCGGGCATGTCCGGGTGTATTAAGGAACTGACAAAGTAGATCCTATAATGTCAGCCAGCAGCCTGGTCAGATAAACAGTGTTGTGTCAAAAAAAGAAAAAATGCCATTCCCTTCAGACCCTACCTTTTCCAGCATGCTTGTAATTTTTAATTGACATTTACTGCTGACATTTCCAAAATTGCCTCATCTTTCTCTTATTGTTAGACCTTACGTGTTATCGCCTGAAGTGTGTGCATACATGTCGTGTTTTTGTGTGTTTCTAAAGTGAAGACCCCAAAGTGAATTTGGGGTCAGTGCTTTGTTGCCACAAAAACGTAAACCATTGGAGAAATGGGGGACAAAGAGAGTGATGGGGTGACATCAGCCTGCTTTCACTTCTAATTAGTTGTTTTCAACTGATGAGATGGGTCCTGAAAGGCTGATGTTTAGGATGTTTGTCCATTTCTCAAACTCATATTTCAGTGGTTGACACTAAAGCTTTCAGTTTTCTTTTTGACTGCCCTTGGAATCGCAGAGCGCTATTTGTAATTATTTCATTGCCCCTGACTGACATTTCCAGTGATTTGCTTATTTTTCATGAATTCCCTCTTTGCTTTAACTGAGCTGCTTCACCCATTTCTTGCATTAATTGTTCTTGCTTTGCCCTCGAGCACCTCAGAGTGAGCTATGGGGACATGTTTTTGTAGACGGGGAAAAAAACATAACTAATTTTCCTCCAAAGCCCTCACCAACTGCATTTATCATCCAAACAATAGTCTTGCCAACACACTAACCCCATAATGAACCCCTCTTCAGTGGAGTGAGGGGTAATGACGCTTCACCTACAGTGCACCCAAGAAAAAAAGAGAAAAGGGGAAAAAACGGAGAGAAAAACGGTCTTCTACAGAATCAAATGGCATGTTCAGGCCCAGTGCCTGGATGAGATGGTGAAGCAGCAGCAGCTATTGGTGTCTTCCAGCCATCAATCTTAGCTGGTGGCGTTCCAGAGCCAGTGAGCCCTCTGCTCTGACGGATGTTCAGATAATTGAGTTATCCATCTCGCCCAACTATCAGAGTTGCATAAAAATTATTCACCTGCTGGTGAATATTAAACACATAATGAGCCTCTTGTGTGTTTTAGGATATGTGGGTAAGGTTAAACACAGCATGTAATGAAATATGGACCCTTGTGTGGTGCCACTTTAACTGTCCCTTCTTGATCATGCTGTACTTCAATCAATTATGGTTGGCAAGGTTCTTCCCATAATTCTCCTAGCAGCAGTTTCACTTTGTGAATGTGCTTTGCAGTTGTAATGTTTTAACTGATCTACAGATCCACCTATTTATCCACCCATCAAGAATTACAACCTCTCTGGTGTCTTTTGTCCTCCATTCCTTTACAAGGGAATGCACAACAAAACCAACAACTACATATTAAGCAGCTAAACCTCTTAGACATCTCTACATTATCATGGTCCAAATTTGCAGTAAACAATGACAAACACCCAAATCTCTATTTCTGTAATCCATCAAATTGATTCAAGTGCACAAATATTATGAAAGCCAGTATATGACTGTCATTATCTGAAAAGATTCTTGATAAAGTGTATATTAAGCTAAATTAATCAGACAAATATAAAACCAGAACTTTAGCTGGCTACATAGGTTTCTCTTAAACAGATATATTGCTTGTCTTTTTATATACCGTTTGTCTAGTCTTTGCTTGTTTTATTTTCTGACATCTCTGCTCTGAGAAAGTAATTTATCAAGGTATTAATTTGTCAGATTATGAGGGCTCTTTGTGGCCCTTAAATGCCATCCATGCAATATTGTTAAAGAATCAATAGAGTAAATCAGAATATACTGTTTACAAAATAGCTTTTCAGCAACAAAGCTACTTTGCACTGTAGTATAACAAATTAAATGGATCAATGTAGAGTCAGATAAGTATATTCAGGTTCCTTTCTCTTCACCATTCCCAATTTTCCTTCCCTGCTTTCCCCTAACCCAACAAACACAATGGACAACCTGTGCAGAAATGAACATGAATGCCAGCACGCCCCCTCCCAGAGTA